GATAGCTGTAATAAAAAAATAATAATAAAACAGGCCTACCTACAACGCTAATTATAACAATATCTACAACAACAACTATAACGAAACGTAACGATAAATTTAATTGATAAGTTTGGTGTCTGTGTTGGTACCGTAGGAGCAGAGCGGTGCGTCCGGTGAGCTGGTGGAGGTGGGCAGCAGCGCCCTCATCAGGCCGCCGTCGTTCATGTTCAGCTGAGGCAGAGAGATGGCGTTTTTAATGATGGGCGAGATGGGCGGTGGAGGGGACGAGAAGTCACGTGACCCTCCTCTCAGCCGGGGCAGAGGAGTCTTTCTCACATGCTGCAGTGTTCGTGACAAAAAGCGTGTCGGTTTGGAGCCGGGGGGCGAATCCGGGTACCGTATTCCATCGCTGTTACTTGATCCGCCATAGTTGCTCAGAAACGAAGTGTCACCGAAGACGTCCCCACCGCGGCCCACGTGCATGGTGTGGCGGAAGTCGCCGAGTGGCGGACTGATCATGTCCACCGACAGCTCGCTCTTAAACCGATGTTTGCCGTGAGACGTGGACACCAGGCCTTTGATCGCCGGCAGCTTTCCCAGACTCATGATGAGAAATATGACTTAAATGATCCTTAAAACCAAAGCCAAAAAGTCTGTCAAAAATATAAGTTGATGATGATGTGCTCCTCAAATTTAAACAGATGCCAGATGTAACTGCAGCAGAATAAATAGTACAGTAATGTCAAATAATCATAAAAATATCACAAAAAAGTCACGTGGAAAAAATTGCTTTAAAAAAAAATGCTAGTTTAACGAAGTGATTAAATACCCAGAAAAATCAATGCTAAGTTAATGTAAAATAATTCATAAAACAGATCCAGAGAGAGAAAAAATGGTGGAAAAATACTAAAAAAGGTTAATGTTAGTTTTATGAAGCAATCAATCGACCAGGTAAATCCATTTGAGTAAATGTTAATGTCAAATAATCATTAAAAGATATCTAGAGAAAGAAAAATTTGTCGACAAATACTTAAAAAAAAATCCTGATTCTACCTAAACGAAGCAATCCAACACCCAGATAAATACAGCTAAATAAATGCTAAATTTACTTCAAATAATCATTTGAATAGATCCAAAGAGATAAAAATGGCAGAGAAACATGTCAGAAAAAGTATAAATGTAAATATAAAGACATTAATTAAAACAGTATTTTAAGCTGATTGCTAATAAGTGTTTTTCTGTGATCTGATCAGATTCACTTTAGAATGAGCAGCAAAACCACAAAAAACTCTCACTTTGATTATAATATCCTGCAAAAATGCCATTGAAGACTGTTTTAAAGAGCATCATTGTGACAAAATCTCTACTAAATCTACTAATGAATACTAACTACAATTACACAAATGCTTTTAAGTGTTCACACGTCTCGTCTGTAATATATGAGCTCTGTCGGTTTGTGAGCTGCTGCCCATCCCGAGCCGGAGTTTAAAAATAACCTGTTAAAGAAGCCTAATAGGATTTACGAAGAATTTAAACACCTTCTAGTGAATGCAAAAACCCTACACTCTCTCTGATAGTAGAAAAAAATGATGTTTCTTGCACAAAATGACTTCAAAAACCATCTAACGTGTCACCATGCTTTTAAAAGAATCACTGAATCTCTCTTTAAACAACATTTAGAGACACGTTCAGATTTACATCAAGCAGAACTTCTTCCAAACATCTGTTTCACACCGTCACGTCTTTTATATCTCCTTTAAAACTGCATCTGAGTGCATGTCCACACCAAAGTTGAACACTGTTTCTCCAGAAACGTGACGTTTTGTAAGATGAATGACATCCAGCGCTGTCCTTTTCCTTCAGCTTTGTCCCGACACACCTGACGTCCACCAGCACTCTGATCTGTTATTTTAGTGTTTACGAATCCCACCGCAGGCCTTCAGCGCCCCAGGATCCCCCAAAACAGCCCGTCTAAAGCGCATCAGACGCGCATATGAGCCGCTGTGTTTTGTCTGTGGCTCAGAGGAGTCTGAACGGCTGGGATTGGCCTGGATTAGCTGGATTATTCGTCCTTGCTCTCTCTCTCACTCACTTCTTTTATTCTTTCTCTCGCCGGACCGTCTCAATCCATTTAGCCGCACGTCAGTCAGTATTTTCCTTTCACACCGTGACACGCGTCCTGAGAAAGAGAGAGTCGACACCAGATGATTAGAGCAATGCCATGTCATCTTTATACAGTAATGATGATCATCACCTCTGTTCAGTGCCTTCATAAAACCAGATCACATGAAAGAATGATACTGAGAGACATGAAAATAAAAAAATATATAAACAATTTAAGATATTTTTTTTTTGACATTATTTTTGTGGCAAGTAGGCACATTTACCCCTAATTTTCAGATTGATTTCATAATACATGCATACATATGGTATATAGTATGTATGCATATGGTAGTATTTATTTGACCTATATGCTGATTTAATTGTAAAAGCTTAAATTTACATATATATATATTCATTTTTTTTAATTATCAATTATTATAAGAGAAACATAATTAAAACCACAACTGAGAGTAATTGGAATTACAAAAGATAAAATAAAATATTCAGAGATATTATAATAATGTGAAACATGCTTAATCATGAAACTACAGATTAAAGTTTCTCCTGACAGACACACTCATTTACACCAATTAACATACAGTACAAACACACACTTCTCCATCCAGACTGTTATTGCTGGAGTTTAATTACACCTGTGTGTGTCTCTACACACACAAACACACACACACACACTCGTTCAGCCCATCAGACAGACTGAGGAAGTGAGTGGGAAGTAATGGGAACAATCTGTGATGTATTTAGCTCATGCTGCTCTCTCACTCACAGGCCAGCAGTTCTGCACAGCAGTTTTAATTAGCAGTAAATCTTTTACTTCAATAGCTGGTTAAAACATGACAATGTTATATGACGGAGCAGATCCATATCTAGACAACAGAAAATCATAGAGACACCTTAACAACTGCATTGCAAAAACCTTGGCAGCCTGGCAACATGCTATTATCATCATTATTGCTTAATATTATTATTTTTTTATGTTTGACAGATGTTCAAATGATTTGATTAAACCGTTCACATGTCACCCCAAAATCAAAAGAAAGAAAAAGAAGCCTATTAGAACTATTAAGATTTTTAACAATTAAATTAATTCGCCCCTCACATCTCATTCAAATACTGTACCTGTAACCTAATGTGAAAAAGTATTTCAGTAACTTGTCAGTTTATTAATAACTGTTCCTTCAGACTTCAGCGCCAAACCTTTCGTTTGTTTACTTACAATAGCCGAATTCATAAACTAATAAAATAACCAATCTTCCACATTAGTCTGATAACATGTCCATTCGTTATACATATTTAAACTTACCTTAAACGCAGAATAATACCGAAGTTTCAGAGCGTTGATGAATAAACTCCAGAGCAGACGCGCCACCGCTCAGCGCATGCGCACGGTGAATCATTAGAATCACAGACAGGCGCCTACATCTGAAACACAGAGTTGGCTTTTGTTCAGTGAAGACTCGGAGAGGCATAAAAAAAGAGTGCAAATATTCCACAGGAGGTTTGTGAACGTGTAAAATATGAAATGATAACACGCGAGTCCAAGTCACTCTCAAAAAGTCCAGGATGAATTCCACACGG